ACTTAACTGTCTTATTCAGATAATTAAGATTCTCATTGAACTCTTACTTATTAATCTTATATATGTTATTCTAAGTAATCTGAACTGTATAAAAAATACCACTGTTCAGAGCTCTGCAAATGAAAAATGAGAGAATAGTAAAAGATAATATAAATCAGAATCTCTGATCTTTAAGCTTTATAAATGAGAGCAGATTAACTATAATATTAAAAATATAGTAAATATTCTGTAAGTTAATATCATCACTCTCAATCTTTAAGATGACAGTTTTAATCTTTTTAATAAACTTAGTTCTCTCAATCACAGAATCAATAGAGATGTTATTATTAAAAGATTTAATATTTAAAAAAGAATAAAGCTTATCTATTATATTCAGACTTATATATGTATTCAAATATCAAGATCTAGAGAATGATTTTTCAGTAACTGTGAAGAAGAAATAGAACTCAATCTTTATAAATACTGTATTTACTACTAATTGAGAACTTATTAAGTTATTCTTCTTCTCTTTCTTCTTATCATCATTCTTCTTGTTCATCTTCTTTTTCTTTTTATCAGAGTGTAAGATGAAATATCTATTAATAGTATATTCATATCTTCTATAGTAAGTATACTTTTATACAGTTATGCTTTTATTCTTATCTTTATTCTTATTCTTATTCCTTTTCACAGTCACAGAATCAGTCTGAGACTGCTTTTTTCACTTAATAATAATCTTCTTAAATATATAATTAATCAGTTACTTCATTAAATTATTAATACTAATATTAACAATGAGTTCTTGATCAGTGAAGAAAAACTCATTTAAATATATCTTAATAAATAATCTTTAATAATCTTATAGATTGTTAAGAAAAAGATTATAATATATATCTTTAATACTCTAACAGAGCTTCTTGTGACAGATAATAAAATAGTAGAAATATCTCTGAAAAGTAAGATAATCACTATTCTTAACTTATAATTTTATCAATTTCTTAAAGATATTAACTTATTCTTCAGTCAGTGATATTGTATATTTAATATTAATCTTATTTTATAGAACTGTAGTATTATTAACTTCTAAGATTTTAATAATAATTCAAATATTTTTAATAAGACTTAATAGTATATATCTATATAGAGACTTAAAACAGATCTTTCACTTCTCAGAATTAATATAATATATAAAGAGAGATTCTTATTAAGTTTTTAATAAAATATCAGTTTCATTAATAACTTCTATATCAGTTAATATATTAATATATCAGACTTTATAATTCAAGTTATTAAATATAATTACTGATTTAATATTTAATATATATTTAACTTTTCTCTGATATTTCTGCAACTTATCTCTTATAGTATCTCTTTATATAGAGATAGATATAATAAGATATTAAGTAATTTCAGCTATAGTCATTTAATTCTATAGTATTATCTATATAAGATTTATAAGATTATCTGCAGTATAATAGATAGATTAATTCAGATCATTATTAAAAATCAGTATTTCAGAGATAAGAAATAGTAAAGAATTTAATAAGTTAAAATAAATAGATTCTGTAAATGAATATTAACTCTGCTTTTCTTTATTCTGAAGTTTCTCTGTTATCTTATCATTAAATTTCATACTCTGATAAAAACTGATCTTAGTCTTATTTTATAAGTCAGAAGTTTTCTTATAATAAGTAATTATTCTATTAATAAGTTATCTAGTAAAGTATGTAATTCTGAATCTTGAGCTGAACTCTGAAGTAATAGATGTATTACTTATATCAAGATAACTCTGCTTCTTCTAAATATATAAAAAACAAAAAGTGATATTCTTCACAATGAAGAATATACTTTCTTAAAAATATAAAGTATATAAATCTGCTGATCAGCAGATTCAGAGAAAATGAAATATCTCTAATAAAGAGTAAGAGTCTTTTCAAAAAAGATAAACTATTCATATCAAAAATATTGATGCAATATTCTAAAAAGAAAAACATGTCATTCAGGCTATAATCTGTAGAATAGTTGAAGATTGTATTGATAGATCTATCTACAAGAACATAATATAGTGGTGGGTCACATGATCTAGTGGGATCGCTAACCGCAACGGCCGTAACGGCCAAACACAAACAAGGTATGTCGTGAAGGAAGTGGACAAGAAGGGAAACACTTAAAACATTAGCATGTCGAAAACTTCGCGGAAGGCGAATTTGAACCCCTAACCCCTACCGCCTATGGCTCTACCATCCTAAATTTAGAAGCCCGGTAGCATGGTTAACTGCCTAGACCTAACATGCGATACCCCCCGTACGTATCCAGATCTCGCTTCCCACACCACGAAGGAATGCTTAATCCTATCGAAGCTAGGGTCAAGGCGGATGGTTAACGGTAATTTTGAAGGAGACTTGCTCGCAAAGGCTTGGCACATTAGAATTTCGGTTTGTTCCTTCTTCTCGAATGTGCGGCTGTACCCCGTTGTGAAATATAGAGTACATGGTTACGTTCGCCAAGTGACGCGGCATGAAGACCAAATGGCTATCTTGAGCGATATATAGTCTCCGACAGCGTAGATATGGCCGAAGATTGATACTGATGTGAAGACTTCGCAAGTATCAAATGCCTTTAGCGTGGGGTGTGTTGCCGTTGTGCTTACACCTGTTTCATTAGCACTAAGTTTCCAAAGCGTTGTCATGACCTCGGCCAAATTCTTCCGGGGCCCAGGCTCATTAAAGACATCCGGTCCTTTTGCACGGAGTGGTGTGCATGCATTATTTCTTGCAACTCAACAGGGTATGTTAAACTGTTCAAATAGTGCCCTTCGTCGACAAGACTAGCCCAAGCCAAGGGAGGCGCCAAGGTGTAGAGAAAATACGTTAAAAAAGCTTAACTGGAACAAGTGCTTTGGGGTTCACATGGGCCGGGCGGTGCAGACTCTCTGCAGAGCAGCAACCGGTTAAGTTTCCGACTCCCAAGCGCCTTGGCGGGTTGGTCCACAGCCTTGCTGGAAGGAGGGATCCTTGTTTAGGTTGAGACAAAAGGCGATTTGTACAACCTCACCCTTCCCGTACGTACCGTTGCTCACAGGTAAACCCGAGCGGCACCATGTTCATCCACATACGCATTGCATAGATATGAGACATGAGAACCCTGCCGCCAGCGGGTTATATCAACTACTCACTTGGCCAACGCATTTCAGATACTAATCTCAAAAAAATTAGGAAAATTTCGTGGCTCCGCCTCATGTTGTACAGGCAGTTCAAACCGGATAAAATGGATGGACTAAACTTCTTCCGTCACTAATTCCCGAGTATCCTCAAGAAACAAGAAGTGCACGAACGGCAAGGGTGGGACGGCACGATAGCGGCGATTGCTAATCGGATAAAACGGCCTTGGAGTATGTATTGTTCGCCCCGGCTCGCCATAAAATGCTGCAAACTAATGGGTGTGCATGATTAATATTGGCAAATTGAACTCGAGCGGAATAATCGGGTGTTGTCTAGGTCCAATTCGAGGTTGTGTCCGCGCGGCATGAAAGGGATTGTGGGACGTGCAATCATGATCGTGTGGGAATGTAGAGAAACAGATTGTATAGTACGAAGGACTGATTGAAGCGTATTTCACGAATAAGGTGACAAGGGAAAGAAAAGCTTTGAGAAAATGAAAAAAAAAGAGAAAATAAGAAAAACATACAACAGCCGGGATTCGCTGGTGGTCACCCACCCAACTACTAACCGGCCGGCGAGTGGCTTAAGTACGGCTGAGCGGACGGGAAGCCCTGCTTTCCACTCCCTATGGTCGTATGTGCTTGTTCCCTAATGGAAAGCCAATTTATAGCGGACATTACCATACCAGGAAGGACGAAATGACGTCCCTCAGCCATATCGATTAAATCAGGCGACAGTCCAGCTTCCTCATCCCAGCTAACCTACATGCAACGATACCAAATGCAAACATAACGCAGTGGGTCACTTTCGCAGATTCCCAGGGGGTCTCTTATCTGACATTGCCTGGGTATTTGGGCAACCTAATTTCATTGGAGTTCGGCTCCAGGGACGGGGTCGGGGGTTGCCCAAACTTGGGGAAACCGTCTTTCGATTTGTTCCTTGAAAACACTGTTGCTGATGGGGAAAGCGAATACCGCAATGCCCGAGATTCCAGATGGTCTTACCCGTCAGGAAGTTAGCTACTATGGGATTCACGCATTCGGCTTATTTGGGATGAAGTAGAATTGCTGGGATACAGTGGGGACCAGTTCGACGATTCAGATGCCGCCAAATTGTGAGAGAGATGCTCATTCGTTACAAATCCTGGTTCCAAACGTTGGTCCCCAACAACGAAATTCACGGATACAGTCGGCAGGGGAGACTTCCTGCAGCATATCGTTCCCTGATCTCACAACTGACAGTGCCATTGTAACTACTAGTTAGGCCTGGTGCTTGCTTTACCCTATTCAAAAAGCGCGGTGATGCAAATCGAGTCGATGTGGAACAGCTCAAAAGCATTTGAGCCAGCTATGGAAATAAGTTCTTTCCGGAATAGGCTGCTAAAGGCAATCGAGCACCAACCTCACACTACCTACGATGGCCGATTTCACCTTATTCGAAGTTCGATTCCGTTGCGTGAGCGGTCATGGCGGTTTGAAATAGGACATACCCACGTTCAACTGTAAATATACGCTTGACATACTCCCTTGTTAGAAGGACCTACAACTTTACGGGGCAATGTATGGTTCGCTGGTGGTAACTAACTCTTCCCAAGCCATCAAGAAAAAAATACCTGAAGAGAAGTGCCGCCGGAGCAATTCTGAGTTCGCGTACCAAATATGATCGAATTTTTAATTATTGTGATCTTATATATTCTCACAGCCTAGATAACAACGGAAGGCCTTAAAAACACTCAATACGCTTTCTCAAGGAATAAATACCAAAGTGAATTCAACTAACATGTCCAGCAGAGGCAAAAACAATTACCAAAATTCTATCCACCAGTTCATCGCTCATGTCGTTGGTTGAGATATGACAGGACTACTCTCTTTTGGAAAAGTCTTCGGTAAACCCGTCCCAAGCACTTTCCACATCGTCTACCGAGCCATCTTTCTTGACGAACATAGAACCCATCACTGCATGTGTACCACCATTTTTCCTTCGCCACTCACTAACCGGTGCAGGGACCTTTCTAGCATTCGGTTGGACTTGAAATTTATTGTATACGACCCCATTGATGGTCACCTCACCATCGAAATCCCAACGGATCCCCAGATTCAGGAGTTCGCTTGGCTTCTTGGGGTACGCTGTACCTCCACGGGCGGCAGTCACACTTGTGAACTTCTTTGGATGCGGCAGATATCATGCCTTTTGGCGGTGCGGAATATTTTCTTCATGATGACGGTAGTAATATTGGTACGTCTCCTAAGGAGCATGATTAGCAAACGGAACACAAGATCGAGGAATTCTGGCCTATCCTTGACGTGAGCGTGTGTATCTATTAGAGCAAAGTCAAGGAGTTGGATAGAACCTTTCAATCAAAATAGGTATCTTCTCTCAGGCCAATGCATCCAATTACTTGACTTTTTGATCAGAAATGAATGGGACAACTTTGGTGTCCGAGCCTCCATCGGGAAGCTCTATGGTAGTCCTTATATAGACTGAATTCATTAGATCCAGCCCTACTACGCTTGAGCAACGGCATGGAAGGGTAGCAGAGAGGTCCTCAGCCTATCCTTTTCAAACTGCCATATACGCGTGTCGGAATGGTATCTCGGATGAATATGTCGGAAACATATGAATCTCATGTGTATCAAGATCTGCTTCTTATATTATCCGTACTCTATCTATCATAGCTCTTCATCTGCAAGAATGTGAGATGCATCAATCAAAACTGCTTTTGATTCAATTTCACAGTATCAGATGTCATAGTCTTTTGACTCTGAGAGCTTTGTGATAATTTTCATTTTAACATGACTGTAATCATTCTTGAATTCGTGGAATTTATCTGTTTCAGTGACTGGGTTTGTGGTCACAGTGAGATTGAAATTTATTCTCTTCTTCTGTAATCATTGCTCACAGGTGATTTTCACTGCGTCAGCTTCAGAGAACTCTGTCTCTCATAAATGAGTGAAGTATATCATCATTTTGATAATCTTATCAGCAGAGCTATCTTGATTGAGACTATCTTAAGTGAGTGTAGAGTGTTCTGTTGAGAGAAGATCTTCTTTCTCTCTTAAATTTATATTATATTCTGTATTCATTTTAGTTTGAATCTTCTGAGCTGTCTGAGATAATGATTACAGCTCAAGCAGCTCTTATTCAGAAGTATTATATATATATATTAACTGTGTTAAGTATCTTCTACTTTCAGTAATTAGTACAGATTCAAGTGAGACAGTGTTATCTTTAACAGTGAAGCTGCTTACAGAAATATATTCACTGTTTACATTTCTATTCATGTAGAAATGCAAAAGTTACTTGTAAACTTATTATAGAAGTCTGTAGTGACTTAGTTGATTTTAAAATTAACAGAGTTCTTCTTAATTTAATTTGTAATAAGTAGCTGCAGAATTATTAATACAGTATTTCAGAATGTAATTAGGTCTTTAATTTAAGAGCATAAAGTGTAAGAATTTTGATTTTTTTTAAAGAATTAGTGAATTATTATATACAAGAAGAAACATAATCTGATAAAGATAATATAATATAGTAGTTAATTAATTATCAAGATCTATTCATTGTATAACCTTTTATATATAATAGATATTTGTTAAGTGATTGATAAACATCTCACTTAGACAGAAGTAGTCAGTCTGTAGAGAGAATCTGACAAATTATAAATAATAAATAAAATTCAATTCAGATTTATAAGTTTTATTCATATTAAATTAAATTTGATTGATATCTACTCTAATAAAGATTTTCTTTACTGTCTTTTCAATTACTTCTAAATTCTCTTTGATTATTTTTGAACTGTAGACTAGATCAATATTATTTACATAGCTTAAAGATCTCACTATTTTCATATCTCTATTCTTGAATAGATATACAGTGTATATTATAAATAAAATGAGTGAGATTGAAGATTCTTACAGTACTTCTATTTATTTTTTCTCAGTTTTATTTTATTTTATCTTATCAAAGAATAGTTATATGATTCTTTTAGATATAAAACAGTTAACTTATTTTATTAGAGAAAGTGACAGTTTTAATGTCTTCAAAGTCTGAATCATCTTTGACTTTGAAACATAATCAAATGCATCTTTTATATTAATAAAAACTGCAGTTAAGATTAGATCTTTATACTTTGCTATTTAAATATTATAAATAACTGAGAGAATAGTATTAATTGCAAAGTATTGTTTTCTATCTCTCATTTATTTACTAAATAGAAGAAAATCACTAACAGAGCTTATAAAAGATAATCTAGTAGTTATTATCTTTTCTAAAATCTTTCTCAGACAGTTCAATGAAGATATTACTCTATATAATCTAGAAATTAAAGCTTTTCTATTAGGTTTTGCAAGGATCACTTCAGTGACTTCTCTTCAGTATTCAGAATGATAATCATTTTTCAAGAGATTGAAAAAAAGCTCAAAATATTCATTCTTCAAGTAGAAATATGAATTTTGAATAATTAAGTGATTGATTGAATCAGGCTCTGCAGCAGTTTTAATTAAACTTGTGAAGATAGCTGACTGTAAGAAATCCCGCTTCTCGCGGATTCTTTACCTCTATTTCTATCTCTTATATAATCAATAGAGTTAGCAACTCTTGACTATACACAACTATATAGACTGAAGTTTATGACTACTATTTATAACTCAGCTTAAATGCTATTATATTTTTAATCTCTACATTTTATCTTTCTACTATGAATACTTCTAGTAGTTAATAGTATATATCACATTAAGTTGTAAATACTCAAATAATTATCTGTAAGCACTTATTCTTACATTTCAAGCTCTGTCAGTTAGTAATCACTTATTATAACTGAAAGAACTAGAAACTTATATACTTCAATCTCTGTAAACTTCACTGTAGACACTCAGAAGCAGTCACTCAAATCATGAATAACTTCTATAAGAGAAGTCTTAGAGAACTTATTAATTACTTACAGAATATCATTCTCTGTATCTGTGATAGAGAAATTCTTCAAATTCATAAATAAATTAATCTCAGTGAAAAACATTTTTAAGTATCTCTTATAAGATTAAGCTATTTTTCTATAAGAAATACTTACTATCTGTAAACATTCTTGAACTGAGTCTCTAGACATAATCTTCAGAGACACTTATAAACTGAAAAGAAACTTTCTTAAATTATAATTACTTAAGATTATCTACTGAATTACAATCTATAAAAGCCTTTATAAGTTTGTATTTGAAATTGACTCATAAGTCTGACTGTGTAATATAAAAGATGAAGAAGCTATTATTTATATAATAACAGATCTCTACTATACTGAAGTTAAGAACTGACTAAAATATTTAGAGAATAATTATAAGAGATTTCACTAATCTGTTCTTAAGATCTATCTAGAGAATAAGTTGAGAGACTTTATAAGTTAGATAGAGAATATCTGAGTTATAATTATTAATATTAGAAAAAGAGGCAAGAAATCTGATGAAGATTACTTATAGCATTTTATAAAATTATGATATAAATTAAGATCTGTAGAAACAGAGCTCTGAAACAAGATCTGTATAATAATATATAAAGAGACTGAATAAAGATATGTAAAATAAGCTTATTGAGTAAGACTCTAAGTTCTTAACTCTGAAGAAACTGATAACTCTTATTCACTGTTTACAGATCACTGTGAGAGTCACAGACTCACAGAGAGTGAATCATTAATCAGTCTTATAAGAGTTAAAATAATAGAGAAAAGATTTATCAGAAAAAGATAATAAGACACAGAGAGATTCACATCTGACTGTTAAGTAGAGAGAGAAAGCTTTATAAGCTTCTATAAACAGAGTGTATAATAGAGAGATTAAGAAAAAGAGACTCTGCTTTATCTATTTTAAATCAGAATATCTTTATATAAACTGTTCAGATAAATTAAAATAGAAATTTAAAGAGTCACAGACAGAGTCAGTAACAGTCTTCTTAAGAGTTTTAAAACTGATATCTGAATCTGTTACTCTCTCAATGAAAATACATACTTATAAGAAGAGATCACACTATAGTACTACTTAAACTGACCGTGTGACCGTGTCTGAGACTAGAATCAGAATATTTGATAGTTTTATTATCAATTTAACTGATCTTATTACACAGTTTTAACATTAGATAGTAGTCTTATACTGTCTCAGTGAGACTTACTATCTACTCTGATCATATTTTTCAAATGAGATCATGATTTTCACTTCTCAATTTAAATTATTAAATGACTTTAAATCTCATTTAAGTGTTATCAAAAAGCATTACTTTTTAAAAAACTAAAAATAGTCTAAAAAAAACCTTAAAATGTCTAAAAATAGTAACTTTATACTAAGAATGAGACTAAATAAGATTAAATAAGATCACTTTTATAATTTTTCTAAGTTATAATTTCATTTTGAGATCTGATATATAGTCACTTTTAGACTGGCCGGTGAGATCATGAATTTCACATTTGATCCCATTTGGTCTGATCTCATACATTTCTTGGCGTGAGTCTCACCAGAATCAAGCCTTAAAAAAATCTGAAAATGAATCATTTCTGAGAGAAATGACATGAAAAATGACTAGATTTAATTCAAGAACAGTGAAATGAGAGTAATTTTCCAGAATAAACTGTGAAAGATGATCATTCTTTCAAAATCAGAATGAGACTGAGACTGAAGATCAAAATCAGTCTCATTCAGTTTATTCAGTGATTGCTTATATATGTAAGAATAAGTGCTCGCAGGCAATTATTCAGGTGTTTGCAGCTTGATGTGATATATACTGTTAACTACTAGAAGTGTTCACAGTAGAAAGATAAATGTAGAGATCAAATGTATAATAGCATTCAAGCTGAGTTGTGAATAGTATTTGTGAACTTCAGTCTATATAGTTGTGTGTAGTCAAGGGCTGCTAGCCCTATTGATTACACAAGAGATAGAAATAGAGATAAAGAATTCATGAGAAGTAGAATTTCTTACATATCTTCTTCTCTCTAAGGCTTTGTCTGTGAAGCCTTTCACTGAGTGACTTCATAGTCAGCTCAGCACTGCAGTGATACTCATTAAAAATTCTTTATATCTATAAAAAATCTCAGTGAGAAAAAATCCCTTGTTACTATAAAGAAAAAAGAGTCTGTCACTCAGTTTCTTGTTCTGTAAAGTTCTTTGTGATCTATAGATTCTTCTCTGACTATCACATAGATTTATCTCACATCTTTCATATAGAAGAGTTTCAGTTGACTCTCAATTATTTTCATAAGATTCTTGTGTGATCATCACAC